GGGCGGGACTGATGGTAAGCACCAGTACCGGTAGGATATAGAGACTGGTAGAAATCATAGAGGGAAGCACAATGGACCGATACAGGTCTCAGTGCATGGGGAAACCCACCCTCTCCAATAACTAACTAACTAAGGATACACTATTCTAATTTGAAATGGTTCTAATTCATTTCAATACCAGCAATATTTCTGTTGAAACGTTATAAGGTGTCCATTTCCCGCTGTCACATCTGATTACTGGCACTCAGTATAACAGGTCTGCAGTGAAAATTAATCACTGGGAAGTGAGTAAATTAAAAATATATATATATAAACTAGAATCACAGAAATGGGGATAAATTGGCCAAAGACAACTAGTTTGGTCAGAACCATTTAAACAACAAAAACAGCAGCGACAACAAAGTCACGGGAAAGCAACGGATGCAAGAGAGAGGCTTTGCAGTGTACAAATTTAGTTGTGTTTTGGTTTGTTCAATAATATGAACTGTGCCGGTTGTACAGTCTAGCATATGAGGACAAGCGTGAATGATGAGGCGGGATATGGAAGAGACAGTCGTTGCCACAGGACATGGGGAGTGCATCGGTCATCAGACGGTACGAAGTCCGCTCCTTGAACTTTGCTAGTGTTCTTGAAATTAGTGGCTCATGGTCAGTTGCACAACGCATTTTCCCGATCTTGTAACACAGAATTTAAACATATTTACGTGATGTTGCATCTGACGTTCGGTTATCGGTTATGAATGGCTGGAAACGGGATGTGTTCCTGTGGGATTCTTCGGTGGCCTATGGACTGACGACAGTGCGAAGTCTAACGAACAGAGTTTTGAACGCGGGGTGAGTTTGTATCCTTTTAGTGCATATCGGGTGTTCGGATGAAAGGTATCCAAAAAAAAAAGAAATGTATATCTCGGAAACTAATTGTCATATACGTATCTGGTTTAGGTCATCGGAAAGGAAAAGCCTGCAAGTTTTTTCCCCTTCATGCCCTGCTTATGCGCATGCGCAGCCACATTTCTGCCACCATGTTAGGAATCACTTGGACAGAGTTATGGCTGGGAGATAGATCGGCAGAAATGGATCAATCGCTTGGCCTCCTAGGTCGCCAGATTTAACCCCACTCGATTTTTTTTCCTGGGGTTATGGGAAGAACATTGTGTATCAGGTCAAGATCAACGACCTGCAACACCTGAAAGCCCGCATAAGGGACGCTGTGGCTATGGTAACACCAAACATGCTGGATCGTCTGGATATTTGTCGTGCCACCAAGGGAGCACACACTGAAATTTACTGAGAAAGTTATATACTTAGAGAAAACGTTTATAGTTTCCTTTCGTAGTTGTGTAACCCATAAATGTGTATAATAAAAGCTTTTTGAGATATGATAAATGTGTATAATAAAAGCTTTTTGAGATATGATTATTTTATTTTGGATACCTTTCATCCGGACACCTGTATTTTCCTTTAAATAAACGCACCGATGCGAGACACTCTGCCCTTTCAACAGACAAATTAATTTAACTTATTTCAGTAGTTTATCCCTTTTGGTATGCCCTTCTTTACAAGCTCTGTAGGTACTACGTACAATTTGCATACCATTCCATACAATACTAAATTAATTCACTTCCCGTACTTCGTCAAGCACGCATCGGATGTGAAAACACTTCAAACAAACGTTACAGATCGTAATCACATTCATAACTTACGTCAAACGTCATTTTTTATACATGGAGCTATTACAGAATAACCACTTACTTACTTACTTACTTACTTACTTACTTACTTACTTGTTTACTTACTCATGGGGCAGAGCCCTTCTGGTGGAGCCGCAAATTCTGCAGCTACTCAAGAATTTCCCAGCATTTTATGGAACCCGAAGGTTCATTACCGTGTTCACAAGAGCCCTTCGCTGGTCCTTATCCTCAGCCAGATCAATCCAATCAATACTATCCCATCCTATCTAAGATCCCTCCACAGTTTCCTTAATTAATTATACGCATCAAACACGGTATCCCATCCTCAAACTGTTACATTTTTCTAAATACGAGAAAGCGACTGGCAGAAGGCACAAGAAAGAGGTACCTTCGTACCGTACCTTCGTAACCTTAACAATAACAGAGACGTGTTTCTCCACATCGGAATAACACTGTAAACTCTCCGTTATAAGAACCCACAGACATGATATAAACCTTTTGTATAATTTGAGTTTAATAAAATACAAGCAAGTCTGGAAGCAAATGATTAAGCAATCCAATTTGGTAATGGTAATTTCTGATGGCGTCATATTCCCACACGATACATCATCAGTCGCTGGGCTAGACTTTACGAATGCTACGCAATATTCAGGACTCATTCTCAGCGAGAAAACTAGTTACATTCCTCTAAATCACCATAAAAAGACGTGCAATTTTGGTGACATTTCTGGAAGCAACAGAACTGCAAAAGCGCGTCAGTGTCTTATCTGTCTGCAAAGTCTGATCACTTGTTTTGTTGGGAACGGAGTAAGTGATATGGCACCTAGAGTTGCAGAACTGTGAAACTAACAACATTCCAAGGTGTCAAGGTGTTTTGTATGAGTGTAACTAGCGGATGTGTATTCAACGATTTGTTAAGCGGCTAATAAAGCTAATTTAATTTTCGCATAAGTAGCGTGTTCGTTCCATCGGTGCAAACTATTATCCGGTATAACGCCCAATCCTAATTTCTAAAAGTACGCTGCAGTCCTGAGGATTTTCAGCATCTGCACCATTTATTTTCCTAAGAAACCACACTGTAATAGCCGATCCACAAATTGAAACTTTGCCTTGTAGTGCCAAATATTAAGTGATTTGGAAGAGGAAACATGTAGATTGATTATGCATCACACTTATAACATGATATACATGTTGCCAACAGAGTCAGAGTCACAAGTGCCTGACTGGCGGCAAAATTTGTGTCAGCATAGGACAATGGCTTGAGAAAGGGCGATAGTTTTATTATTCTTGGCTATAGGATTTTTGTATGTGGGGAGGGGGGGGCGAGATTAAAATCCAGGTCAACTTTCAACCGCCCTTGTATTATTTAGATCAGCTTCGGGTTTCAGACGAATGTAAATTTCTTTCTCTTCGCAGATATTCCGCTTGTTTTCATGCGCTAACAGATACGATGAAGGCATGAACATTTTGTGGCACTCGTATGTTGTGAATTTCAAGTTTTCTTTCTTATTAGATTTTTTTTACCTGAATATGTCACGCATTTTTCCCTTCAAAATACTTCCCATGTTGCGTAATGCAGTATGTGGACGCCAATCACACGAAGTACTTACTTTGCTATGGAGGGTCGTTCCTGTCGCTGTAACAAATTTCCTGATATTGTTCATACATAAATCTGTGTACTACTGAAGAGTTTCAGTCTGATATTATGAAATTGGGATGCAATTTACGAATATTCGAGGACAAGTATGGCAATCAGGGACTACATATGTTATTTTATGATACTAATTTCAGTGTTCCACCGACTGAGTTTAGGTACTTACGGTAATTTAAACTAACATCAGTGAACCGTATCACACGAGACTGCATCACAAACCAGGAAATAAACTTGCGCCAAGAAGTGGCAGGTATATCACCCTTGGCTGAATTGGTTTGTATGACAGAAGTCAGTTTGTGACTAACTATGCGGGAATATGATGCAATCACAGAATACGCAGTTATTTGCATTGCTAGACAGATGTATGTAATCGTCTGGCAGCCTTGGCATAGATATTTTCCCATCTAAAATGTAAAGAAAAGTAATATTGTCCCTGTGCTTACCTAATTAAGCACTACGCCATTAAGGTCTATGGGGGAACGAATGTATAGATCCACATTTTCTGGACCTCAGCACTAGTTGGATGTAGGTGGTAAGCTTCAAGCTCCTGCCGCTTTACCACCAGGGATAGAGCCCCTGTACCCATTCGATAGGAGGTTGGGTGGGCCCCAGAGTCGGTCTGGACGATGTAGAGAAGAGAAAATTCTTGACCCTACCGGGACTCGAACTCCGACCCCTCGGTCGTCCAGTCCGTAGCCAATCGCTATACCGACTGCGCTATTCCGGTCTATGAGAGACAAATAAGGCGTGAGAGCGGTAAGGTGAAGAGGTGTGGACGAGAAAAGGGTTTGAGTTTGTATAGCAGGACTATGCAGATAGGATGGGGTAAGCTAGGTGGCCGAAGATAGAATAAAATCATTCATCCAAAGGCGAAAGGTCTCAATGCGCTGGAAAGGAAATATTGCGGCTAGTCGAGGTATTTAATTTTCAAATTCGTCCAGAGAAGAACAACCGGAACAAACAGTCTCAGAAATGTATACCTCTAGGACTTTAACAGATTATCCGTAC